ATATATATATCCATATATATATATATGGATCTTCTGAAAAGTTTTTTGAGGTGCAAGTTTTTTCTCTTGTTTTTTCTCTTTGATTTATGGACACAATGCTGAGATTCAATCACTACATGAAACTCCTGGCTGTGAAAACAAAATATAAAACCCGGGGCTGTTTGTCAAACAGTCCCGGGGGAAGCTACGTGACAGTCAGATGCCAGTTTCAGAAAGATGCATCATACCTTCAACCCCCCCTCGTTTCTAGCCTCTCTTTCTTCAAGAAGGAAGTTGATCCCAGTGATTTCAGCCCATGCATTAAACAGGAAACAATAATAAATATGTAGAATTCATATTTTTCTAAAGGGAACTTAAAAACTGCTGCTACATGTTATGTACAAAACCGGTTTATGCCACATGAACAGAATCACGAGTTTGGTTTTGGTACTTTGTGTCCCTCTTTGTATTCAGTTGTATAATACTTCCAAATTCAAAATGAGAAGAAAAGCTGTTCTGTATCAAACCATCTGAGCAATAAATGTTATATTTTAAAAATGGCAGATTGCCGGTCACACGGCCCTCCTGTGATTTGCTGTCACCCCACCACCTTATCCAGCCCCCAAACCGCAGCCTGTGCAGGACAGGCCACTGGTGTCCAGGGCCATCAGGGGAACTGCGTGCCTTCTCCCCTTCGGCGTGGGGCACCCAGGAAAGACAGCTCTGTCCCCCAGGTGGCTTCTCTGAAAAGAAGAGACGTGAAAAGAAGAGCCACCTGTACGTGGCTGCAGGTGCAGGGCTGTCTCAGGTGGGAGGGTGGGTGGGAGAGTGGGAAGTCAGGACGTGCAGGGGCCTTTGCAGTGATTTCACCCTCGGCCTGGGAGGTGACGCGTCTGTACTGGTTTAGCAACAGCGAAAGGGGAATTGTGTTTTCTGGGCAGCACCTCCTGTGATGTCCGCTTTGCCTTTTCCTCCTGCCCATTATAAGGGTGCAGGGGAACCCAAGTAGGGGGACCGGGGGCGGGGAGGTCTGTCGTTGTAAAGTCCTGAATCTTCTAAGCCAGGACTCAAAAAGTAACTCGGGGAAGCTGGGTTCAGGGCAAGCTGTCTGTAGACAGTGCTTATAATGCATTCACCGTGGTACAGGGCTAAGTGCCGGGTCACAGCGAGACAAGAGGTGCAGTGCTCTCTCTGGTCTGTAAGACTTCCAGGGCCCTCTGTTGGGAGACCCCACACATACACCCCTCTCTCACCAGCCCCCAGGAGACTGGCTGCAATGCCAGCAAGGGGTCTTGAACTTGTATTAAAATAAGATAATCAAATAATTTGGGAATGATTCTAATGTAATGACTGGACAAGCCTCTCCAGTTGTGGGGGGTGGGTGCTGCTGGCCATCGACGCATTTACAGCCCCCTACCCCATCCCCCCAGGGTGGATGGAGTCATTTCCCTGACTGGGGATTTGGACCGCACTGGTCAGTGTGAAGAGCAAGTGAGCCGCCCCTGGGGAGCATGACAGAAAAGACAGGCACAGCACTAAGCATGGAGAATAAGGCAGGAACAAAACAGATTCCTTTCCTTGTGGAACTTGGGTTTTAACAGTGGCAGACAATAAACTCTAGGGAGGAAGATGCAGAGGAATGCAGGTCCAGAGGGGAAAGGAGGCAATGGGGGCCTGGGGGCCAGAAGGGCTGGACAGGATGACTGGAGATGTCTCAGGACAGCAAGCAGCAAGAAAGTCACCCACGCAGATGTCTGGGGCTGGGCCCTGGAAAGAAAGGCCTTGGGGGAGCCTGCCAGGTCTGCAGAAGCCTCGAGACTGGAGTAGGATGAGAGGGGGGCAGGGGCAACAGGCGACAAAGGGCAGAGGGGCTTGCTGGCTGCCTGTGGACCGTGGGATGATGGGGCGGGTGGGTACAGGGAGGCCGTCAAAAGGTAGTCACAGTGACACAGGCCAGAACAGGCAGCAGCTTGGAACGGAGTGATGAGGTGAGACACTGAGAAGAGGTTGGGTTCACGGTATATTTTCAAGGGGAGCCGACAGGACTGGATGAGCCGTCAGATCCATTAGCTACAGAGAAGTCAAAGCTTTGAGACACCAGCCAGAGCATACAGGCTTAGCTGTGACATCCAGATCTTCAGAATTCACTTTTACTTTATTTCTTTAAGCTTTTTTATTGTTTTTATGTATTTTGCAAGAGAGAAAGAGCGTGAGTGGGGGAGAGGCAGAGAGAGAGAGAGGGAGAGAATGCCAAGTACCCTCCACACTGTCAACGCAGAGCCCAATTTGGGGCTCCAGCTCGGGGCTCCAACTCACGAACTGTGAGATCATGACCTGAACTGTAATCAAGAGCCGGGCGCTTAACCAACTGAGCCACCCAGGTGCCCCAGAATTCACTTTTAAAAGAGAGGGTTTCACTGGTGTCCATTGATAGATAATGGATAGAGAAGATGTGGTAATATACATATATACAATGGAATATTATTTGGCTATTAAAAAAAGAATGAAATCTTGACATTTGCAATGACGTGGATGGAGCTAGAGAGTATAATGCAAAGCAAAAGCAGTCCAACAAAAACCGCCCAGAAGCGCCTGGGTGGCTCAGTTGGTTGAGCATCTGACTTCAGCTCAGGTCATTATCTCACAGGTTGTGAGTTTGAGCCCCGCATCGGTCTCTGTGCTGACAGCTCGGAGCCTGGAGCCTGCTTCGGATTCTCTGTCTCCTCTCTCTCTGCCCCCTTCCCTGCTTATGCCCTCTCTCTCTCTCTCTCAAAAATAAACATTAAAAATTAAA